TTATAGACTTTTGTCAATTTTTTATGTTACCAAAGTCTTATTTTGGAAGTTTTAAACAAAAAATGTATGGCGCACTTTTCTATAGTACCAACAGCTAGTTAAAATTAAATTAAAATTATCGTATACCTCGTAACGTTAATTTTTTTTTTACGTTACCTTCGGAAGACATTACTTTTGGGCGCCAGTCCTGTTATTGGACACGAATAAAAAAATTTTAAAAATAGACTAATATTATCACAAATTGAACCATTTAATTTATATAAAAAAAATGATTTTAATATTTGAATTTTGAGGGTAACAAGTTTAATGCAACTAAATTAAATAGAACTTATTCTATAAAGAATAAGGATTCTATACTCGAAATAAGACACACAAAAAATAAGGTTGAATTATAATTTAAATTAAAACATTTTAAATTTTGATTTTAAATATAGTCGAAAATAGAAGAAAAATTTAGAACGATTATTTTTAGTGAAATTAACAAAATTTACCAGAACAAATTATTTCCGAAGATTTTCAAATAAATTCCAAATTGGCTTCAAATCATTTTCTTTTTGAATTAATTATAAATTGATTTATAAATACAATAATTACAAAATTAATTATTATTACATTAATATTCAAATATATAAACTTTGATTTTAATCAATGATTTCACTTTTTAGAATGAAAAAATGATCTTGTTTATCATTCTCTAAGGAAAATTTGTTTTTAACCAAAAAAATGAAAAACGAATGTTAACAAATGAATCCTGTCATAAATTCGTAATTATTGTTGATTAATAATAAAAATCTTCTTCTCTTGAATGATGATGAAGGGTCAGTCCACTGACTTTCGTCTAATAGTGATTGCGACCAAATTTTAAAAAAATCTAGTTTTAATATATGTGAAATTCGATGATTCCCTGAGTTCATTAACCATAATATTATGGTTAAAATTTTTTTCCCTTTAAAAATATTAAATATCAAAAGTAGGAGGTTCACAATGTGATTTTGTAACCTTAAATTTTTCAATTTTTTTAAAAACGCTATTATTAAAAAACTATTAAAAATTAGATGTTGGAACTCACCAAAAACATAAATCACTTTATTCTGCACAGAGGAACGAAAGAATTATTGCAAAAATTCATTATTTTTGGATGATATACGATTTTAAAAAAAATTTTATTTAAATATTCTCAAGATTTTTATTTGCTTATAACTTTTTTGTCGATGCTCCGAAAAAATTGAGGTTTTGCACAAAGATTTTTTATAATATTCTTTACCTTCTATTAAAATCTTACGAAGTTGTTTTGCTTCGTTTTGGAGATATTAATTTTTAAAATTTTTTATTTAAAAAGGTTAATTAAAAGACTTGGAAGTTAACTGACCAATTTCAAATCGCTACATTTTTTATAAAAATATATTAAAATGTAGCGATTTGAAATTGGTCAGTTAACTTCCAAGTCTTTTAATTAACTTTTTTAAATAAAAAATTTTGAAAATTAATATCTCCAAAACGAAGCAAAACACTTTCGTAAGATTTTAATAGAAGGTAAAGAATATGATAAAAAATCTTTGTGCAAAACCTCAATTTTTTCGGAGTACCGACAAAAAAGTTATAAGTAAATGAAAATCTTGAGAATATTTAAATAAAATTTTTTTTAAAATCGTATATCATCCAAAAATAATAAATTTTTGCAATAATTCTTTCGTTCCTCTGTGCAGAATAAAGTGATTTATGTTTTTAGCGAGTTCCAACATCTAATTTTTAATAGTTTTTTAATAATAGTGTTTTTAAAAAAATTGAAAAATTTAAGGTTACAAAATCACATTGTGAACCTCCTACTTTTGATATTTAATATTTTTAAAGGGAAAAAAATTTTAACCATAATATTATGGTTAATGAACTCAGGGAATCATCGAATTTCACATATATTAAAACTAGATTTTTTAAAATTTGGTCGCAATCACTATTAGACGAAAGTCAGTGGACTGACACCCTGAAATTAAATGAATCGAAAGCAAAAGGAAATGTTGGATACTCTTCTTTAAATTAAATAAATCATTAATTTAGTTTGATACCAGTTGTTAAATCGTCATAACGCTCCTTCAATATAATTTTTCTTATACAAACATTATAACTGAGACTTCAAAGAACATTCTTAAATCCAGATTTATATAATTTTGATGAGTTAAACAAATTTAATGGGCTTTGTCTTCCACGCAGCAATTAAGAGTTTCGAGCAATAGCTCAAAAGTATGACGAAACGCTTCCAAGATTGAATAAATTTTGAAATTGTTGTAATAAAATTCATAAAAATCCAATATTTTCTTGGATACAATCATAGAGTCCAACAATCAAATGAATAAGGTTAATAATAAATAGAATAATTTTCTTGAATCTTGAAATCTTCATATTTCTTTGACTCGGACGAAATTACATAAAATTTAAAAAAAGGGATTTACATAGATTATTTATATTAAAAAAAAAAATGTGTGTGTCTTTATCTCGAATTTTTGTGAAATCATTGAAGTAAATCAGACAAGAATAAATTATAAATTTAGAAAATTTAAAAAAACAAATTAAAAATTGATCAAAATAAATAATTAGTGTGCCAAAATTAAATTTATATTCATAAATTGTAAAATTATCAATTTTACAATGTTACAACTTATTTAAATTACCAATTTTTTTTTTAAAACAGTCACTTTTAATTATAATTAATATTTATTTTAATTAAAATTGACGTTATCTGTATGTATATAATGGATATAATAAATTATGCTCGAATGTGCATCTCTAAATTCAAGACTTTCTTTGCACGCCTCAGCTGTCAAAGAAGAATAAGGTCCTTGAGATCCTCCGGATAGTGTGAATGACTTTTTGCCAAAGTCACTTCATTATATTTAAATTAACTTTTGTATTTATGAATAGAAAGATGCTTTCTTAAAGTCTAACCCCGAAAGCAATGACCGATAATTTATTCTATTTTATTTATTTTATTTATTCTTAACTATACATGCAAAAAAAATAATTTTTTTTATTCTTACATGGTGATAATTACGTATACTGGATACCGAAAAAAAAAATTTATTTCCTTTTTTTCTTTTCTAAACATAAAATCACAGGTATAGTCATGGAATGCCCCAAAAATAAAATTTTTTTTATCAATGTTATGATATATAGGTAAATTCTGCCAAAAAATATAAATATATTATAATACACAAATAAATATAAAAAATATATATAAAATCTACACCCAAAAAAAAGTAATCTTATACTTAGAGGAAAATTCCTCTTCTAATATCCTCTAAATATTTCCTCTTAAAACAAGATTATTCAATTGAAATGTAGAATATTTTTATTCTTCATTTTAATGGAAGAATGACAAAAGGATTCCTTTTGTATTTTCCTCTTTAATTAAGATTTTCTGTTTTAAATTTAGAAGATTTAAAAAATGGAAACGGAAAAAAATAATGTAATCGTTTGATCCCTTTCCCTGAGTATGATAGTTGTGAAGTTGTTTTTTAACCTTTCAGTTTTAATATTTCTGGTAAAATGTCAACAAAAAGGACAAAAAAATGGATTTGCTTTATTAAAAATACAGAAAATATAGTTTAATTCAAATTAAATGAATATTTTTAACGCTATTTTTAGATTTAAAAAAATTTGGATATTTCTTGTGAAATTTTACTACTCAGGTAAATAGAAATACTATAACCCCATTTTTGAATCTTTCGAATTTTTTAAATCTTTTTATTTACTTTTTTAAAAAAGTTTTAAAACGTTAAATAATTTCATATATGAAATTTTTTTCTGTCCTATAAAAAATGTTAACTTTTAAACATATCATCATGTTTTAAAATTATTTTTGCGCTGAAAATCTCGTTGATCATTACAACTGATTAATGAAAACTTATTTTTTGTATTTTAATTATCAATATAAAATGTTGATAATTAACCAAAAACATGACATTGTTAATGTTATATTAAAAAACAATTTTTATTATTATATTGAAATGAACTATTATAATTTTACTTAATTTTAATTTAAAAATGTATTTTCTGCAAAGATTTTATTATTTGATTGAAATTATAATTATTTTATTGATGGCTTTGACATTAAAAACAATTTTACGAGGTTTGGATGTCGACATGTAATTTAAGAGGAAAATCCTCTTAAATGAATTATAATAATTTTGATACCAAAATTAAGAGGAAAATATGCATTTATTTTAGAGGAATCCTCTAGATTGAAAATTACTTTTTTTAGGGTGTATAATTTACTAAATTAATTAATAAATTAAAAATAAAAAATTATTATATTTTTTGTCCCCTTTTTATGAAAAATAATCACCTCTTTAACATTTTTTAAAAATATTAAACTGAAAAAAAAGTTTTAAACCAGGAATTTTTTTTTTTAAATTCCTCATATCAAAATTTGAGAAAAATTTTTTTTAAGAAAATTTCACATGGAATACCCCAAAAATAAAAATTACTTTTATGATTGTTATGATATAGATACTTTCTGACAAAAAATATAAATATTATATTATAATTATAATATATAAATAAATATAAAATTGAATTTATGAATAAATTAAAAATAAAAAATTATAAAAAAAAATATTTCGAAAAACAATTATGTTATATTTTTTGTCACCTTTTTCAGAAAAAAAATCACCTCTTTAAAATATAAAATTGAAAAAAAAGTTTTTAATCCGGGTATTTTTATTAAAAAAACTCCCCATAAATTAATTAAATAAAATTTAAATATTTAACATCAAAAAATTATCGGTAAGTTTACGAAGTTGATTATCGACATACAATTAAAATCAAAGACAATAAAACATTTTAAAAATAATTAGGAAATACATTAATTTGAATTTACCGCCAATTTAATAGTTATGATTCTCTAGCGGTCGATAATCGTTTATCAATAGAAGAATATCGAAAAGATACATCTAACTCAACTACAGATGGCGTTAGAGTGCAAGAACATCCGCAGAATCAAAAAAGACAGCTGTGGTGTAACATCACACATCGATTTGGCGACCCTTCGTGATTAACAAATTTTTGTTCAACTGTACATTGCATTGGAATTTCATAGAACATTTTTCAAAAAGAAAAATTCTTGAAATATAAAAGAAAAATAGTTTTTTAAAATTAAATGAGAACGTCAAAATAGTGATGAAAAAAAGTGTTTTAAATGTTGCTGCAGTGCTATAAATTTACTGGTTCGTTATGCGGTGTTTCTGACAACAGCCCTTGTCAACCCCTATTTCCTGAATTTCACATTGAAGAGGAATCATTGCCGTTGACATAGATATATAAAAATTAAGGTTAGTCTTTTATACATACATTCTTTTTATTTTTACTTTACCTAATTATACACATTTAAGGCTGTTTTCATTTGTATTGTAGAATTATAAATGTAGACTATATATGGGCATGTGTATCTCTATATATATATATATATATATATGTATATATAGTATATACTTTTATAGAGAAAAATCCAATCAGGCACAGCAGGGTTCATCACCCTCTGCGACGATAACAATATATACGTATATATTTCTATAAGTTAATACAATATTTTTTTTATATTTATAAGATGTGAAATATTTATATAAATATTTGTAAATTATATACGCGTTTAAATTTTCTCTTGTCATTTTTAATCATATTTCACTTGGTCGACTATAATGAATAGGTTAGAATATTGAAAATTCATGGTGCTTTTTTAAAGAAGTTTGTTATATTAGAATTTATTTAACGATGTGTATGTATATATATATTTTTTTGTTATGATTTGAAAAGAATTATTTTTTGGGGATGATGAACGATATAATGGAGACTATTAAATTTTTCATGAGGTTTAATACTGACCTCGAGCCTCAAGGAGTGTTGGTTTCTCAAACCCGCATTAATTGAGTTTTACGTTTTATATATTATGCCTTGCTTAACAAAAGCCTTTATAAAATATATTGAGAGAAAAGAACTGTGTTGCTAAGTTGAGTCCGCAATTCTGTGTTATATATATATATATATATATATATATATATATATATATTCATTGAAAAATAGAAGACTTTTTAATTTTAAAAATAAGTATCCGGTTCATTGTCTTACTTTTTTTTCTATATTTATTATTTATATGTTTGGAAGTATTTTTTATATATTTTGTGTAAAATAAAAATTTTATTAATACACTGATTTATTGAATGACTATATATATATAAATTACTTTTGTGATATTCAATTTTTAGAGAATTTTATTAATAATTGAAAAAAAAAAGTTATAATAAATTTAATATAGTCGCTATGCTAGATGTTAAAGCAATTATTAAATTGATTTTTAAAAGAGAAATTTTTTGTCTTATTATTTTTTAATTAATGACATTTTCTGAGTAGTGGAGAAATTTTTTTATTGTATTTAAATATGAAACTTATTATGAATTTTTGAAAAATAGAAAAACATTTCTCTCTGGTTTTGAAAAATTATTTTAAAAATATTTTAATAAATAATACCTAATATTAAATTATTTTTCTGGAGAAAATGATTTTCTATATGGTTTTACCGTTTTGAAGTATTAAAAAAAATTTATAATATTAATAAATAAAATATTGGTTTGAAAATAATCCATTATATCACAGAAAATTAAAAGGCATTAAAATAATAAGCGTTGCAGCTTATTTTAATGCCTTTTAAGTGTCTGTGTTTGTTTTTGTAATTATATTTTTTATGTATATAAAGCTTCAGCTCTATTGGGTTTTTTAAAAAAATATTCATTGTTTTAAAAACAATTTTTGTGATTAAAATATTTTATTGTAATAATATTTATTTTTTCAATTTCTATATGCTGAAAAAAAAAATTTATTTGTTTCAAATAATCAGTTACTTGACTATTATGAAATAAATATATTTATTTGTATTAAATAATAATACACAGTTTATTTAATTCAGTTAAAAATTATTTTGTTTAAATAAATAATTATTTGGTTCAAATAAATATTTATTTGATAATATGGTCAAGTAACTGATTATTTGAATCAAAATAATTTTTTTTTTTCAGTGTTAAAGAATAAAAGGAAATTTTAAATCGTTAAAATCAAAAATAAAAAAGATTATTATAAAATTATAAGAAACTAAAATTATTATTTTTATTTTGGATATTTAAGTCAATGTGTATTACAATAAAATTTGATTTTAATGGAAGAGTAGATAAAAAAAAGTTTGTTCATTTAATGCTCACGTTTCCAATATCATCATTTATGTATATGTATGCAGCTCAATTTCCTTCTTGTGTTCTAGTTTTGGCACACAAACTTATAAATATTTCCAAATCAGTGAAAATCAATGTTTATTCTATTAACTAAAGCATTTTTCTTTGAATTTGTCGTTTTTTTTTTTTTTTTATTCATTTCTGTCGTTTTATTGTTAGTAATAATTTAATAACAATAATATATTAATAATATTATTATAAAAATATTACTAATAATGAATATAGTTATAAATAAATATAATTATGATACAATAATAAATAATACATAATAATAATCGTCAATTTTCCATTTATTTCGAGTCTTTCGTTTATTTTTCATTAACAAATCTTTTTTTCATCGTTTTTAAAATAAAAATGTTGAAAAATTCAAAGTAACATTTTTATAAAGATTTTTATTTTAAAAAAGGTTATTTTTGTGCTGCTGCGGAAGAAAAATTTTTATTTTATTGTATTTGTTAGAAAATTTTTATAATAATTTTTTTTTACTAAAAAGATAAAATGATATATTTTTTATTTTCAAGCCATATATTTTCCAATATTAATTTCAACTATATAAAAGAATAATATATATATTCATACAAATAAATATAAATGGAAATATTTTGTTATATATTAATTCACATCCACATAAAATAATAATTGTTCATTTGCAGAAAAAAAATTCTTTTTTGTTTAAAATAATATTAATGAAATATCACTTTTAATTATTTCACATTTTTATTTTTAAAAAAATGCGGTTCTTAAAAATGACAAAAATTTGAATACATATTATAGTAATCAATGACAAAAAATACTTATTTTGAAAATTTTTATAATGGCATATTTACATAAATAATTTTTTTAAAAAAAGAAAATTTTAACATCATAAAAAATGTGAATAAATAATTTCAAATTCTCATAGAAAATTTTAATTGCATTAAAAGTGAAACACATGAATAAATATTTTTTTCGAAAATTAATCACACGAAAAAAAAGTAGAATTTTTATCCCAACCCTTCAAATTCGTATTTTGCGGTGAATTTTTTAAAGTGAATAAAAATAAAAAATAGCTCGTTCTCCATCACCAAATTTTGATAAGATGAATAAAGAAGATTTAACTTAAATTTTAAAACCAAAATGGGATTTTTTCATTAATCGCCTGCGAAGATATAAGTGTTCAAAATCTGATAAAATCCTGAAAAGTTCAATATTCAAGGTAAAATTTCACATATTTCTATATTATAAAAATAAAAAGCCAACATATCATGTGAAAGTACATGGAAAGTACTTATTGTTAGGTAGTAATAAATTTTATAATATTTATAAACTTTCTTGGAAAATATAAATAAAATGTGACAAATTTTGACATTTTACAGATAAGTTTGAATATTAATTTTCACGTAGTATTTTGACCTTTTTTACACAATTATCAATTAACATTGGTAAATTAGACTATTTTCAACAAATATCAATGAAAAAAAATTTAATAACTAAATTATTTCTGTTCTTTTTTATAAAATTTCCAAAGTTGTCAAACTAACCTATTTTCCGTGCAACTCAACTTAAAAACTAAATTTCAACGTAAATAAAAAAAAATTTCATAAAATAATTGTCAAAAATGAATTGTACGGATATTAAAAGTCATTAATACAAAATACCAAATTTTTCTAAAAATAGGCCGCAACGACTGTAGGTGAAATAAAATGGAATGACCCAAAAGTTTTTTTCAAAAAAAAAAAAAAAAAATTTATTGTTATAATTTACATTTTTATTTTACTGTTATAATTTTATTTTATTTTTTAATGTATAGGTAAAAAAATTGAAAATAAAAAAGTTGAAATATTTATAGTTAAAGATTTAAAAACTGCAGAGAAAAATATCTTGAATTTTAAATTACGTTGATTTAAAAATCATTTTTATATAAAGAAAGCAGTTGAATAATATGTATAAATTTTCAGAACTATTTTATTATTATTATTATTATTATTATAAAAAACCAACCCACATTATTTTGCACTTTAATGATTAATTTTTTAAAGGCTTGCAAGTATTAAAATTATTAAAATTTTATCTCAATTTTGAGGTTATGTTCGTTTCTTGGTTAAGGAAATTTGAAATTATGTTTGTCGGACATAGCCTTATACCAAACGGTCCCTTGACCTATATGTCTTTGAATTTTTAGGTTATGTTTGAACTAATGCCTTGAATTCTGGAAACCTATGCCCTAGAATTTTGAGGTTATGTTTGATCCATGACTTTGAATCCTGGAGACCTAGGGCCTTGAATTTTAAGGTTATGTTCGTTTTAATACTAATATAGGTAGATATATGGGTCGTTCCACGTCAATTCGCCCGTGGGTTTGAGGTTAAAATCAGAAATAAAATACTAATATAGGTATATATATGCGTCATTCCATATCAAGTGTAACCAACCCATGTTTTTGACATGGTCAGTACAATGGTTGGTTACACTGAAAAAAAATTTATTTGATTCAAATACTCGATTACTTGACTGTTATCAAATAAATATTTATTTGTATATTAAATAATTATTATTTAAATCAATTAAATGGTATTTATTTCAAATACAGAAATTATTGGTTCAAATACAATTTATTTAATTTAAATAATTATTATTTGGTTCAAGTAAATATTTATTTGATAATAGTCAAGTAATCAAGTATTTGAATCAAATAAATTTTTTTTCAATGTATTATAATTTATTGTCATTCACAAGTATTATTTATTGTTAATTAAAAAGAAACTTTTCATCATGCTAAAACTATCATAAACATAACCTATTAATTTTTCGCTTTTTATGTCCCTGTCTGCAGAGCGCGTCACAAATATTATTTATTTTTCTTGTTTTTATTATTATTTTTTATTTTGTCATTGTTGTTGTTGTTGTTTTTATTGATAAAATAATCAGTGACAATTATTAAAATGGACCTGATTTGTTTTTCTTTTTTTGTTATTTCTTTTACGTATATGTAATTTTAAAGAAGAAAAATCTCTTAGAACGTCAATACTGAAGTTGACTTGTAATAGGTGTCGTGAGTTTAAATCTGTATAGAT